GACTTGACTAAATCTATATTCCAAGTAAGAGGTAGATTCAAAACGGAAACTGTTTAAAAAAAACCTGTTGGCATTGAGTCGATTCTGACTCATAGTGACCCCATGGGACAGAGTAGCACTGTCCCACAGGGTTTTTGGCTGTAATCTTTATGGAAGCAGATAGCCAGGCCTTTCTTCTGCAGCACCACTGGCTGGATCAAACCGCCAACTTTTAGGTTAGTAGCCAAGTACAAACTGTGTGTGTCACCCAGGGACCTAAAATGGAACCAGGTCTTATTAATTCAAAGCTGGGGTACTTTCTTCGATACTGACTCCCCAGGTGTTATAACAATGTTGCAAATAGTTACCAAGGCTACCCAGGGCAATTAAAATGTAATACGAATTCTGGGCATGTAGGAAAGTAGAGTTAATTTCACACATTTTGCTTGTTTTTCACTTCCAGGGGGCAGAGAGGTGGTGATTGTGGGTGTGAAAATGACCACTGAGCTCATCTATGTTAGGTTTTGATCTGGCAAATTACTGTAAAGCTGGAATGACAACAGCCCAACCTGGTGTGCGCTGTCCGCTCTGCATTTCCCTCCCTGCCTTTTAATTAGCAGAAAAGAATTCTGAGTCACTGACTTCATGTCCGTAATAGTGAGAGACATAATATTGAGACACTCTGCAATACAGGCTATCAAAATTCAAACGCAAACCTAGGATTCCCTTTCTCATGCTGCACAGAACTATCCATGTTCATCAACTTATAGGATAAAGCTCTCCTCCTTTTCCCTTTTCCTCAACTGCCCACTTCCACAGGCCCAAAGAGTAATGAAAACAGTTATTTACAGCTCTCTGTACCCGGGTGGCATAAACGGTGAAGCGCTCGTCTACTAACCAAAATGTCAGTGGTTCAAATCTACCCAGAGGTGCCTCAGAAGAAAGGCCTGGAGATCTACTTCTGGAAGATCACAGCCATTGAAAATTCTATGGACAGCAGTTCTACGCAGACACACATAGGGTTGCCATGAGTCAGACTTGACTGGACAGCAGCTGATACCTACAGCATAACTTCCAAGCAGACTATTGGAGCTGAGGTGTCTTAAACGCCAACATATAGTACATATCAACTCCTAGAACACAAAAAGAGCACAAGCCCAAAGATTCCTTATGGACCTATTCAGAAACAGATAAATCCATTTGTTGCCATGGGAGAGATCTCTGACGAGTCTTTAAAGTGGAGGAAGGTTTTAGAGATATTATGGAAGCCTCTACATAGCAGACGGGGCAAAGATAAAAGGGAATGTTTTTCCAATTTCCTTTCATCACTCAGCTCTGCTCACACCTCCTCCGGGCAGCCTTTACTGTCCTGCCTTTCTCTCCCACCAGCATCCTTTGAGCATCCCTTAATCAAAGCACTTGCAGCACTCAATAGTAATTCATTGAGACCAAAAGACTCTTGAGGGTTAGAGCTGTGCGTAATTCACCTTAGAGAGCCTTGCACCTGGCACAGTACTTCCTCCTTGCCAGGCATGCAAAAATATTTCTTCAACTGTTGAGCTGAACTTACCTGATGGCCAGGGAAAAAGAAAACACACCATAAAACACATCCCAACACCAGCTTTGTAACTGGGGAGTTCTTTGATCTGTGCAGATTATATATTTGTAATGGACCGTGTTCCTTTTAAAAATTTCTTTTTTAAATAAAAATTTTTTAGTTATAACATCATTGTCATCACTGTGATTATATTTAAAGTGAGAGGTTGTCCTTAAGGATTTGTTAAAAATAGAATTTAGAAAATCATCAAAATTTACAAACTAAGAATAAATGGAAAGTATTTTGTTTGGGCCAGTACCCATCTGTCAGTTTGTAGTACTGAGGTGGCTCGCCTGTTGCTGTGATGCTGGAAGTGATGCCACCAAGTGTTTCGAACGCCAGTAGGGTCACCCACGGTGGACGGGTTTCAGTGGAGCTCCCAGGCTAAGACAGGGTTGGAAGAAAGAACTATGATCTACTTCCAAAAATCAGCCAGTGAAAACCTTATGGGGCACAACAGAATATCCCAAGACTCGCTTGCTTTCCAGGAGGGATCAGTTGCAAGGGGAGGACTCATGTTTGGCGAAATGGAGGCCCAGTGAGGATGCGGGAAAACCTCAGCAGATGGATCTGCACAACAGCCTCAACAACAGACTCAAATATGCCAACAATTGTGAGGATGATGCAGGACCGGGCAATGTTTCCTTCTGTTGTACGCAGGTTGCTATGAGTCAGAGTCTACTTGATGATATCCCTCCATCCCTCCCTCTCTCCCTTCCTCCATCCCTCCCTCCCTCCCTCTCTCCCTCCCTCCATCCATCCATCCATCCATCCATGCATGTTGTTTGTGATTAGCAAAATGTTTGAAGGATGAATATCATCCTGCTTACTAACCATCCTACTTAATTTCAAGCAGGACAATAATTTGTTGGCTAAGTTGCTTTAAAAGACCTTACTCTAAAAACTGGTTTGGAATGACTTGCTATATTAGAAAATATTTGTTTAAACTCTTATATAATTTAATTATATGCCCTCCAATTTTGTTTAGCCTATTGATTTCCCTAGAAAATTATTTATTATAAAGAAATACAAAGCTCAGTCTGGTACCTCTTTGAGTAAGCGGGGTCTCAATTATTGAGGTTTTTCTTTATTTAACGACACTGCAGAATCTCCTGGGAGTTGGATTTTAACTTTGTGTGTTCACAAGCTTTACGTTTGTGATCAGCGGTCTTAGAGAAATGTCTTGCGATCGCCTGAAGCACACAGCATAATCAAGTAAAGTTACTGAAGAGGACATGCAAATATTTTCTTATGGATAAGGTTTACCGAATCTCATGGACCAGCTGTACGGTTAACAAAAAGATGCTTAAGATGAAATCACAGATGTGTCTCAGCGGATGTGGAATAACTTACAGGCCCCCAGCAGCCTTTCTTAAATAACACCCCCTTTCAATTCATTCAAAGCATTTTAATTTTTATTATGTTCAGGGAGAGGAAGAAAGCAAAAGAAAATAAAAAACCACACAGCCCGTGCATCTGTGCTCAAACGGTAATTTTTGTCCCGGGGTATATAATACAAGGCACAGCTCCAAGGAGGCCTAAAATTCTAGAAGCATCAACGCAGACCCTGCCTGGTGAAAGTGTTTTTTGGAAGCCCCTTCTTCTTCAGGGTTTTTTTCAGCCCCAAGAAGCCTGACAGGATTCAAAGGGGGTCAGACAAGGAGGAAAGACACGTGTAACAAGCATAGAACTGCCAGGTTAAATACAGACCACCCAGTTAAATTTGAATTCTAGATAAACAGTGGATATCTTCTTTAGTATAGTAAGTATGTCCCATGTAGTATGGCTTATGCAGTATTTGAGGCATACTTATATGTTTATAAAAAAAAGTTATTTATTTGAAATTAAAATTTAACTGGGTGTCCTGTATTTTTATTTGCTAAATTTGCAACCCTAGGGAAGAAGGAATTGGAAAGATTATCGTCAATAACTTAAGAGAGTTTGCCATATATGGTATACCTTTTAAGAAAGTAATACACTTTTTATTTTTGATCATATAATTGTAAAAGTATATTTGGTTAGGAATAGGCAAAGGTAAACCAATGTGACGTGATCATGTCCTATCAAAGTCACACTTGGCTTTGCATCAGACCCACTTCCTTTAAAGCCCCAGTTCCTACATTGAATGACTTGTGCTCTCTTTAAAATGAAAATCTACAGACTGATAACGCTTTCCAATTTACACTCTAATTGAGAACATTCGTTTCTTTTTGATAATTACTTAGATAATATATTTAGCCTTGACTGTGGAACAGCAGTATAAACACTAAAATGAAAGAATAATGACATTCAGCTCAGGGCACAGATATTGGTAATTTTAGTGGATTGTGGGTTGTAACTTTTCCTTTCTCTTTTTTAGTAACTGCTTGCATCTGGCTAATGTTATACTCACATATAAAGAAAAGAGTAAGAGAGTTGAAGAAAGACGATAGAAATATTTCTGACTTTGAGAGCTGAATGATGTAAACAAAATCAAGTGACCCACATAGAAACCAGTAATGACAACACTTTGTGGCCCTACCTGCATTGACATCGTTCACTTCTCCGCAGTCCCCGGGAGGCCTGTGTGACCCTGCAGACAGCAGCTCCAGCCGGACGACTGCCTGCTCCAGCCTTTCCATCAAGCCCTGCATTTCTGCCATTCTAGAAAAACACAAACGGAGGTCATGTGAACATCAGGGAGGGTTAACAAGCTGACACCATTTAACTCAACAATAACCAGAAGGAAAAAAAAAATTACTCAGCGTGGCTTTAAATGCCTAAAGAACATTACACACCATAAAAATATGTGAAAATCGGAAGGTCATAAAACTTGGAACAGAAAAAATAGCAGAATATACAGTGGAACTTCTGAGAGTCGGAATCGACGGGCTGCCTTGTTCTTCCAGGTCTTGCGAATCTTTTGCCTTCAACAGGGAGCAGTCTTATATTTTCCTATCGCTCACTGTTAATAGGAAATGCTTAACTTTTCCTTCTCTGACAGGTTTCTGCCTTAAACAGTTTCCAGCTTTCACAGGTTTTACCGTATTGAGCTCGTCATGAGTCGGAATCGACTCAAGGGCAACTGCTTTGGTAATTTCTAACACACAAATCCTCACTCTCTTTACCCTATCAAGGGTCTACTTTGATACTTCCTTGTGGTGCCGTGGTGAAGAGTTTCGGCTGCTACCCAAAAGGTTGACAGTTGGAATCCACCAGGCGCTCCTTGGAAACCCTATGGGGCAGTTCTACTCTGTCCCGTAGGGCTGCTTTGAGTGGGAATCGACTCACAGCAATGGGTTGGGTTTGGTTATAAGACACAGTCTGTGTATGTTGTTGTTGCTGGCTGCTGTCCAGTTGGCTCTGACCCACAGCGACCTTCTGTACAACAGAACAACATGATGCCTGGGCCTGTGCCATGTTCCTGATCGTTGGTGTGTTTAGTCCATTGCTGTGGTTACTGCGTCAATTCATCTCATTGAGGGTTTCCTTCCCTTTCGCTGACCCTCTACTTTCCCAAACATGATGTCATTCTCTAGTGATTGGTCTTTCCTGTGTCCAAAGTAAGCGAGCAGAAAAGTCTTACCATCCTCACTTCTAAGGTGCATTCTGGCTGTATGTTTTCTAAGACCGATTTGTTCGTTCTTCTGGCAGTCCATGGTATATTCTACAGTCTTTGCCAACACTACAATTGGACTGAATCAGTTCTTCCGTCTTCCTCTTTCATTACTAGTGAACATATATTTCACAATTAATATAGCCAATTTGTATCCTGCTGAATGTTGGGGGCTTATTTTTGCTATTTCTAATAATTCTTTCTGTTAAAGTATAATTCTTCAGGAAACACTGAACCCACCGGTAATCCTTCTTTACTCAATTACATCAAATCAAACAGCCCAGCTCAGAACTATGAGTTTATGAAACTGTGCGTCATTTAGCAGGCAAACTGAAGTAATCAGCTCCTAGAGCTAATTGCGGAACTCTGGTGAGCAGTGGTTAAGTGCTCAGCTGCTAACCAAAAGGTCAGTGGTTTGAACCCACCAGCCATTCTGCAGGAGAAAGACGTGGCAGTCTGTTTCCATGAAGATTTACAGCCTTGGAAACCCTACGGGGCAGTTCTACTCTGTCCTACAGGGTCTATATGAGTCGAAACCAACAGCAGTGGATTAGAGCTAACTGTTTTCTTTTATTTATATGTATATATATAATTGAGTTTTTGGTGAAAGTTTACAGAGCAAGTTGGGGTCCCATTTGACAATTTCCACACAAAATGTTCAGTGACATTAGTTACATTTATCACGGGGCGGTAACATTCTCTTCACTTTGTATTCTTTGTTCCCTTTCCAGTACTTTCCCTGTCCCCTTCTCTTCTCATCTTTGCTTTTGAGTAATTGTTGACTTTTTGGTCTCATACTGATGGTTCTTAAGTAGGGAACCGATTTTATGAGTAATATCCTTTATTGTGAGCTACTCAGCTATTTCGCTAAAAGGTGATCTCAGGCGATAAGCTTGGTTCTAGGTTTAAAGGGTGGGTACTTCAGGGTGATAGTTTCAGGAAGTCTTCTGTTCTCTACTGTTCTAGTCTGTCTGGCATTTTATATTTATATATATATATATATAAATTAGAGTTCTGCTCTGTATTTTTCTCCCATTCTATCCAGGTCAGAACTGTCAATGGTGGTATGGTGGTAGCCGGGCACCATCTAGTTCTTCTGGTCTCAGGTAGATGAGGTTGTGGCTCAGGTAGGCTTGTTTCCTCTCTGAGCCTTTGGCTATCTTCTTACTGTTTTGCTCCTGGCGAGCAGAGACCCATAGTTGTGTCTTAGACGGCCACTCGCAAGCTTTTCAGACTCCAGATGCTACTCACTTCACTAGGATGCAGATCATGATTTTTGTGAACTGTGTTACGCCAATTGACTGAGTTGTCCCATGAGACTATGGTCCTAAGCCTTCAAACCCAGAAAACCAGTCTTGGAAGGTGTTTGGTTATGTTTGAGGAGTATCCATATTTGGGTCTTTAATGAACAGATGTGCCTGCACCCACATATTTGTATTTACATGTACCTATAGATAGTTCTATCTGTTCTCACCTATGTACACACCTGAACCCACTTGTATACCAATTTGCATATACTCATCCATACGTGCTCAAACACTCATTTTTACTTTGGTTGTGCTTGCCTACTACATCCACATTTGGTGCCACTTTTCCCATCACCAAAAATAACAAGACTCTAAAGAGTACTTTCCTTTCCCTCTCCCCTGCCCGCCGTAATCGCCAACGAACATTGGACTCTCTATATTTATCTATTCTTGTCTTCTTGTAAAAGAGGGATCATACAGTATTTGTCCTTATACGCTTGACTTATTTCACTCAGCATTATGCCCTCCAGGTCCATCCAAGTTATAATGTTTCGCAGACTCATCATTGTTTTTTATGTTCCATTGTATGTATATGCCACAGTATGCTTATCCATTCATCCATTGATGGACATTTTGGTTGTTAAACCATTTTTTGTTTTGCAATTGTGAGTAAACCAGCAATGAACATAGGTGTACATATGTCTGCCCTTGTCATTATTTTTAGGCCTCTCGGGGATGTACAGGAGCCCTGGTGGCACAGTGATGAAAACACTTGGGTGGTAGCCAGAAGGTCGGAGGTTTGAATCCACCAGCCACTCTGTGGGAGAAAGATGTGGCAGTCTGCTTCCATAAAGATTTACAGCCTTGGAAATCCTATGCGGCAGTTCGACTCTGTACTATACGGTCGCTATGAGTCAAAATCGACTCGATGGCCGTGGTTTTTTGGTTTTAGGGAATATATACCTAAGAGTAAGATTGCTGGATCATAGGGTAGTTCTATTTCTAGCTTTTTGAGAAAGTGCTATTCTGTTTCCCATAGTGGTTGCATCATTTTACAGTCCCACCAGCAATAGATAAGGGTTCCAATCTCCCCACATCCTTGCCAACATTTGTTGTTATCTGTTTTTCTTTAAGCAGTGCCATTGTAGCTGAGGTAAGATGGTATCTCACTGTGGTTTTGATTTGCATCCCTCTGACGGCTAATGATGGTGAGCATCTTTTCGTGTGTTTGTTGGCTGCTTGGATGTCCTCTTTGGTGACGGCTCTGTTCATGTCCTTTGCCCATTTTGTAATTGGGTTGTTTGTCTTTTTGTTTGTAAGTTGTTGGAGTTTTCTATAGATTTTAGAGATTAGACTCTTAACGGGTAAGTCTTTTCCAAAGATTTTTCCCAGTCTGTAGGTTGTCTATTTACTCTTTTAATAAAGTCTTTGGATAAGTAGTGAGCCCTAGTGGCACAGTGGTTAACAGCTCAGCTGCTAACCAAAAGGTCAGCAGTTCGAATCCATCAGCTGCTCCTTGGAAACCCTATGGGGCAGTTCTACTCTATCCTATAGGGTCACTATGAGTTGAAATGACTCAATGGAAACAAGTTTGGTTTTTGATGAGTATAAGTTTTTAATTTTTATGGGATCTCATTTATCTATTTTGTCTCCTTCTAATCATGCATTTGTTGTAATGTTTGTTATCCTACTTTTACAAAAGATTAGGTCCTATAATCTTCTTCTTATGTTTTCTGCCAGGAATTTTATGGTTTTAGGTTTAACATTTAGTTCTTTGATCTATTTGGAGTTAGTTTTTATGTATGGTGTGAGGTATGGGTCCTGTTTCATTTTTCTGCAGGTGGATATCCAGTTCTGCCAGCACCATTTATTAAAGAGACTGTTTCTGCCCCCACTAAATGGACTTCGACCCCTTGTCAAAAATCAGTTGTCCATAGATGGCTAGGTTTAATTCTGAGTTCACAATTCTACTCCACTGGTCTGTGTGTCTGTCACTGAACCAATACCAGGCTGTTTTGATTACAGTGGCTGTATGGTATGTTTTGATATCAGGGAGTGTGAGGCCTCCGGCTTTGTTCTTTTTCTTCAGTATTGCTTTGGCTATTCCAGGTTTCTTTCCTTTCCATATGAAGATGGTTATTAGTCTTTCCATTTCAGTAAACAATGTTGTTGGGTGTTGTATCAGGATTGCATTGTATCTGTAGATTGCTTTAGGTAGAACTGAAATTTTCACTATATAATGTCTTCCAGTCCATGAGCATGGGATGTCTTTCCATTGTTTGTACATCTCTTGTAGTAGTGTTTTATAATTTTTATTGTATAAGTCTTTCAAGTCCCTGGTTAGGTTAATTCCTAGGTATTTTATCAGTTTGGAGGCCATTGTAAATGGTATTCTCTTCTTGATTTCTTTTTTGGAGTAGTCTTTGTTAGTGTAGAGGAACCCAACAGATTTTTGTTGTTGAGCTTGTACCCTGAAAAGTTGCTAAGTTCTTCTATTAGTTCCAGCGGTTTTCTTGTGGAATCTTTAGGGTCTTCTATGTATAGGATCATGTCATCTGCAAATAGAGATAGTTTTACTTCCTTTCCAGTTTGGATACCTTTTATTTCTCTGTCTTATTGCTCTGGCTAGGACTTCAGTACAATGTTGAATAAGAGTGGTGATCATGGGAATCCTTGTCTCATTCCCGTTCTCAAAGGAAAGGTTCTCAGCCTTTCTCCATCATGTATAATGTTAGCTGTTGGTTTTGCATATATGCCTTTATTTATGTTAAGAAGTTTCCCTTCTATTCCTATTTTGCTGA